CGGAGCATTATGCCTAAAAATTCAATAAAAATCAAAAGCCTCCCTCGTATTTTCACACTTTCCTGGAGATGGCTGCATTTGAAGGCCTACTCAGAAAACCAGCACTCTGCTAACAACATATTACAAATCATTTACTGAAAAGACCAATAATCCAAAAAAAAACCCTATTTGAAATGTGCCTCAGTGCTGCAAATACCTCAAATTCGAGCCATTAATATTATTATTTTTATGCGTATTTTGCATTTATGCAGTGCACAAAACGCATATTGACGAGGGGTTATCTGTGTGTCTGTCTGTTCGCCTGTACCGATTTTCCATCTCAAGACCTACAAAAGCTACAAGGCCGAAATTTTGGGACCTTGATCTGCAAGCATGTATGGGCCCCAACCCCCAAAATGGGCACTCCTCCCGTGTGGTACCCACGCACGAGCTCGCCAATGTTTTTGGTAGGGAAGGTGCTAACTCGGGAGCTAGAAAAGCCAGAAAGCTGAAATTTCAAGGGGAATTTCCCCGTCACGTAGGTCTTAATGAGTTCCAACCTGGCCCTCAGACATGTATAGCTCCCACGTTCGGGCCGGTGAAAGTTTTCTTCGAGTAAGTTGCTAACTTGGAAACCAGGAAAGTTAGAAAGCTGAGATTTTAAAGGGATGTTTTCGGACAGCCCTGATGGCTGGACTCAATTCTCTTAGCTAGAAGCATTTGTCGGGAAAACCGGTGCCGGTAGCGAAAAAATTGCGGGGAACTATGCAAAAAAACGCATCTTCGCGCCGGCAGTCAGTGCGCTGGCCATTTATCCTTTTTTTATCACGATTATTCACTTCTTAAAAACAGAACCTACGGATAAGGAAAAAATCAAAATAAGGAAAACAATTGGAGAAAAAAACTACCTGGACAAATTGCGTAAACATGCTTGACCAGCGTGGTCACGAATAGCGGACAGTTCCTTCAAAATCAGTGCTTCAAGCGTTTGATGCTCCGTACAACCGGGCTGCGCTTTCAGCTGTCCATTTTTCAGACTTTCAATGTACTCGTCACAGACTTTGTAACCCGTTTTCAGTAGTTCTGCTTTCTCTTTCAATAGCGCCGGGCTAGGCCTCACATCACCGATCCCTTAAAAATACATCTTTTGGCACGTTGCCAGATCGCAAAGAAATTTGGATGGAAAAATTTAGAACTATTCGAAAAGTGTGACAAATCTATACGTAAAATTCGCAAAGATATGCAGCAGACGTAGCGGAAAAAGGCAGTTTATGCTTCTCTAAGATAAATTGTACCGGCATGTGAGTACAGACCAGTAACAACGGAATTGTAATTATACTGAGAGAGAGAGTGATTTTAATAGAAAATTTTTTTGTATTGTTTTTGTTAAATTAAATGTTCTACGCAGTTATTTTATACAGAAGTAGCCTTTTTGCAAAATACGGAGGGGGTTTTTGCATTACATCAGTTGCATTCCAATTTCGCAAGTTATTTCCCCAGTTTATGCTAGTTAATACCTGTGTGTAAAGGATAAATAAACATTTATACATATAATACTTATAATCTGGCAAATATCAGTTTCCCTGTAAGCAACCCCTAGAAGAGGGAGCCATCGACAGCCTTGTCAGCGAGTGGTTGCTATTGGCATCTGCTACCACTTGGACTACTTCCAGTGTGTTTACGTCTATCACTAAGAGCGAAATACGGAAGGGTTTTTGAATTTTGACTTTGGGAACTCAACGATTTGGACTAGTTCCGGCGCTATAAAGACGTATCAAGCATGAGTGCAATTCAGTAACATCAAAACTAACACTATACTGGCAGTAAGGGTGATTTCAGAGTGGGCAGGAGGAAGAGTTAAGGGAGGAGAAGGGGCAGCAAAGGGGGAGGGGGGGAAGAAAATCAAAATTTCCAATTTCAAAAACAGTGCATGTTGAGAAATCACAGTTTTTTTATATGCATAGCGCAATAGGAATTTTTAAGTGCAATTTTTAATGCTTGTATTCACGAGAAAGTGATAAATAAAGGTTCTGCAAAACAATCTTTTCAAAAATCCATCCATTTTCAGAACAATCCAGAATTCCAGAACAATCCATTTTACAGAAACCTAACAAATTCTCGTTTCGGTTTAACTATTGTTATATTTCATCAGCAGACTTATTCAGAAACTAGTGACAATTTCAGTATATTACCTATGGAGAAGCCGCGATTGCTGAGGAATACGGGTGCCATTCGTGCGAGCCTCCACATCGCATCTACTGCCGCATCTTCGCCGTAATCGTGCAAAAGAATATGGAAAATATTTGTCTTGCTTCCTGAACCCAACAGCGCCTTGTCTAATACACCGCAGAGCAGTACGCTGTTTCGAATAATCACATACGAATCCTGGAAGATAGTCCCATTGAAATATTCCCAAAAAACATTCCCAAATATCCTCAGAACGACCAAAAATATTCCCCCTCCCACCATCCTCCAAAAAAAAATATTGCCATTCAAATGCTGGTTGAGAGGTTGCCAAATATCCAAATGCTGTTCGATAAGTTGCACTAAAGTCCACGTCAGTACATAAGTTATGGGTTATGAGAAGTGGATCGCAAATCTTCAAAAAAAAAATTCCACGTTTATTGCCTCAAAAAACACCTTTCTCATCTACCCTAACCTCTCCCCAAAAGACTGCAAGTACAACAAAATAGTTATTTTTAGCGAGAACAGCCATGTGATGCCAAGGGAACAACAATCCTCTATTTAACGGAATGTTGAATAAGCAATTAAAAGAAATTTTACGATTCTTTTGCACGACAATACCAGACTGCCATTGAAACGAACTGATAAATCGTAGAGGAATTCCGTGTTTTTTTAATCACAGAACTGGAAAAACAGGATTTTCGAGAAGAACTCAGAACCGATACAGTACCAGAGGTTACAACGGGGGACAGTTTGGAAACGTATAGAACTGCTAGAGAATAAGAAATTTCTGTACTTATGGAACTGCTAGAGGATAAGTGGAATAAGCAAATACCTTAACACAAAATTCCTCGTTTCCCGTATAGCTCTTGTTTTTGGTAGACAAGTTCAGGTTGATTTTCGAGTCGATATCCGGCCTGATGATCAGCTCCACTAGCTGAAAAAAACTCAGTGAAATATGATATTACTGAAAAATTGAGGAACTTTTGAGTTCCGATCCTCAAAAGCAGTTTTGAGTGGGAAAGTAGATTTGTACAACCTATATTAAAGTTTTGTCTTAAAAAAATACGCAAGAAACTCTACAAATGCTTAATAACCGATTGCCAAAGCTACCGACTTACTAATCAATTTTTTTTTTTTTTTTTAAGCAAGCTGGGGATGGTTCTGGCACTCTAACATGCACTATTACTAACCAGCCATTGGAACAAATCACCAAATTCCGGACTATCTTCGTACTACCAAATATTTTCCATAGTTCGGACTGGCCGTTTATTTCAGGAATTACGGTTCGGCCCAACAAAGGCCGCAAATTATTTATCAATTTAACCCACTTCGGCCGCTCCACTTGGACCGTCCACTTATGATTCGGCCTTCTGATGACTGTTACTTATCATTATTAAGAGATGGACTCGATTCTGCGCGCCGTGCTACTTGTCATTACATCAAGCCCTTCAGCGCTTCACGTTTGCAGCTTAAATTACCCATGTCAGCTTACCTGCTTGCCAGTCCATAGCTCAA